GAAATTTGAGTCTCTCTTTTATTTCGCATAGAATAGAAGTGTTGTGTTCTCTGGCTTTAAAGTTTAAACTCGAGCTTCTTAAATCTCCGTGGTGACTGCCGAATTTGTTATTACTATTTTTTAAGTAAATTGGATTTAATTTTGAAGTGTTAGACATTTTTTTCCAATGCTAGACCGATTATGGTGTTCATAGGATCATAATAGATTTAGCCTGTAGCTCACTAGCGTTGGGATGTTGGAGCTGCTTCAGGTCATATCATCTATTTACAGGCAAACATTAATTAATTTATAAATAATGGAGTTTTTGAAACATGCTAAATTTTAATTAAGTGGGTTTTTGAAATCAAGGATAACTTAAAGTTGTCGTTTTGATAAATAGGTAAGGCTGATTTCTTTCAAAGCTTTTAGTATTTGTGTGTGCTTGAATGAGCCCTGGCATAGATGAGTTATATTTCAAGCTGTCCAACATCTCTCAGATCTGGTATAAATACTAGAGAGTGAATTGAGTTACAGTGAGAAGAAGTACATTTTACATGCTCTTTGCTTTATTCTCTCAAATTACTAAGCTTTTTCTTTCCATATTATCTTAGGCATACGAAATTCTAAATTTACACGACTTGAATATGTTGAGATTCATGAGCGTGCTTTTCTCTTTATGCATTTGAATGTGTCCTTTTTAGAGAGAGATAAATATGTCAAAACTTTCACATTTTGAGGACTTGCATCTCATTTACATGAAAAATATATTAATGTTATAATAATAATAATAATAATAATAATAATAATAATAATAATAATAATAATAATAATAATAATAATAATAATAATCTATCAACATAGTTAGGAGAAATTTGAAGTTGGCCCATTAGATTTGTTTGATTTCTTCTACCTTTAAAATTTGGAATTTTCCTCTTTGTTAGGAAAATCTTTATCGTCTTTCTTCGCTTCTTTATTTGAGATATGAGCACTGATAATTTATCACTACTTCATAATTGTACAGGTATTTTTAGTCAAAAATTGTAAAGAAGAAGAGACTGTATGGTAAAAGCATCACTGTTTGCCATATGTAAATAGTATTGGAATGTTAATTATTATCCTACATATAATGTAAAGAGTGTGACACTTTATAATGTTATGGATGTAAATAATGTATGCCAACAATAGAATATCTATTAATGGATATTTTATTCCAAAATATATGTGAATAATATCCAGCTGATTTGCATCAAGTTTTATTATCTGCAAATTTCATATCAAAATAAAGTTAATGAAAATAGCAACACCAAGTTTTACAATACCGGGCCTCAACACCAGTGTTTACAGTATTGACTCTAGCTCATTTCATCCATGATTCCTTTCATGTTAACCTGAGTTTTAGCAAAGCATTTTCCTATTATTAATGACCTTTGCAACAGTTTCGAGCACATTTGAATTGGCACACTTACTGGGTTCTCCCCCACATGTTCTTTCTCGCACTCTTTTTTGTGTTTATTTGAGGTCTTCTATGCAGATTTCAGATTTTATTATTGAATATCTATTTGTTTGGCGGTTGAGCTACTAAAATTAGTTTTGTGCCAGTTTTAGATTGACATTGATGTTTAGCTCAAAGTATATACATTTTATATGCATATCGTCTTATGTTTTACTTTTTATTTCGTGAATTTAGGATGTAAAATGTGTTGATTTATATTAATCTGAGGTGTTTTATGTGTAGGAATGATCCGGGAGCAATTGGGGACGAAAGGTACGAGATTAGATCCAAAACGGACTTAAAAGCAAAAAACGGCATTTTCAGCGCCACAAGTAGCGCCCCACGCTACCTGTGGCGCCAAAGGCAGTATGCTCCAATTAATAGCGCCTAGAGCTGGGCTGGGTGCTGGTGGCATGAATCATGTCTAATTTTGCACGGGACAAGGTTATTTCGGTCCTAGACCTACCCAACACGTATAAAAGCAAGACTAAGCTTTTAGAAGGGAGGCGCCACTCTGAAGAGAATTTACATACGAGAAACATTCGGGAGAGAAGAACATCTCAGATTTCTTCATCTTTTCATAGTATTTTCAATTATCCAATACTTATGAAATTGTTTGCTATAATCATGAGTTGCTAAAAATCCATAGTTCTGAGGTTGTGATTCAGCCATGAATATTGTTGTTTAACGTTGACTTAACCTTGATTATAATTCACTAATATATGTTTATTTCTTCAATACTGTGATTAATTGCTTAATTAATAGGCCAACAGTTAGGTTCTATTTACTATCTATGCTATGCTTGGAAAAGCCATGTTTAGATTAGAGAAGAATTGAAGAGAGCACGATCTTAATTCTTAGGGGGCGAATTTGTGGTTAGGATAGGAATATATCTAGTCACCGTGCTTAATTAAATATCATAATCTTAATGCGTTCTCAATAGATTGATTTCATCGGAATATAGACGTTAATCTATTTTGAATAGGCGAGTAGTACTTCGGGAGAAGGCTATGAGAGCAGCTATTGATTAATTAGCAACCATGAGTGAATTGTATGAAAGGGAGAGTTAACTAGAACACAATATAATTGGTGAATCGATCACAACCCTGGAATATCTGTCTCTACGGAATACACAACAACCATTTTACTGCTTGATAATTTAGTTAGTACTTAGAATTATAGTTTAGTATAATCACATTCTTGAACTTGATTTTGGCTTGACTGAATAACCATCTTGGTGATTTTAGTGGGAAGTTGATACAAGTCTCTATGGGTTCGACACTTGACTTATCATTTTATTACTTGTACGATCATGTATACTTACGTGTGCATTTAGGAGCAACAAGTTTTTGGCACCGTTACCGGGGACTTGAATATTGACTACTTTCTAGATTTTGCTTTCATTATTTATTTCATCAAGTCTAATGATACATGATTGTTGCTCTGATCTGATGAACTTTGATTGAATGCGCAAGGTCAGAAGCCAGGACCGACTTCTAGGCTTTAACCCTGAACTTGAGAGAACATTTCATATGAGGTTGAGGGAAGCAAGGGACACGAATAATATTCAGGCACTAGTTCAATTTCTTGTGAACATGGCAGAGAAACATATGACTGTTCAGGAGGTGGCAATGCCCAGTATTGCTAATGTCACCTCCAGCATTGTGAAGCCCAGGATCACTGGGCACTTTGAGCTGAAACAGAGCATGATCCATCTACTTCATGCGAATGGGCAGTTTATGGGTCTTCCACACGAGGATCCACAACAACATATCCTGAACTTCTTGGAAATTAGTGATACTTATATCACAAACGGGGTCACTCGAGACTATGTAAGGCTCACAATTTTTCCATTCTCTCTGTTGGGCGAAGCAAAGCGATGGCTAAAGGCAGAACCAACTAATACTATTACATCATGGAATGATCTGGCAAGGAAATTTCTGGCAAAGTTCTTCCCTTCAGGCAAAACTGCAAAGATCAGAAGTGAGATAGTCGCCTTCAAACATAAGGCAGGGGAGTCTCTATACTCAACTTGGGAGAGGTTCAAGGGGCTACTCAGAGATTATCCTTATCTCAATCAGACAAACGAAGTGTTAGCTTACACTTTCATAGAAGGGCTCCATCATGAAACAAAAATTGTGGTAGATGCTGCAGCTGGAGGTCAAGTGTTGGAGAAAAGATTTGATGAGATATATGCATTATTGAACAAATTCTTCAAAAGCAATCCGGATTGGCAAGGAAAAATGGGCAGACACACGGTGCAAAAATTTGCAGGTGTTCTCGAGTTAGATGTCATCTCGGTATTATCAGCGCAGATTTCTACACTGACCAACCAAGTCAATCATATGACCATATTTATTAACAAGTAACAAGATCAACCAGTGCAACAATTATGCCCAGTTAATCCAAAGTCTGTCTGCTTTGTAGGTAATGCAAATAGGGGCTACACAAACCAATATGGGAACACTTACAATCTCAACTGGAGGAACCACCCAAACTTCTCTTGGGATGGAAATCAAGGTGCTCAAAATCAATACCGACCACAAGCACCTCAACAACAATATAGACCACCTCAGGCTGAACAACAAGCAAACTCAACAAGTCACCTTGAGGAAACGATGAAGAAATTAATGGTTGATCAGCAAGCCCAAGCCACAGCAATGAGAAATTTGGAGCGCCAAGTAGGACAACTTGCTAGTGCCCAAAATACTAGACTAGTTGGAGCTCTTCCAAGTGACACTGAAGCTAATCCTAAGGCATCCATTAATGTTGTGTCATTGAGGAATGTGAGACAATTAGAAAAAGTCCAATCGAAAAAGAGAAAACGTGTGACTTTTAATAAGAGGCCAGACACTATAGAATCAAAATCAAAAAAATCAAAGGAGTTAGAGAAGCCAGCTGAAGAAGCAGTGGCTGAGAAACCCCCACCATTGGTTGTGAGGCCACTACCTCCGTTCCCTCAAGATTGCAGAAAGTGAAGGATAATGTCACTTATAAAAAGTTTCTTGATATGTTGAAGGAGGTGCAAATTAATATTCCATTGGTAGACATCTTGCAAGAAGTGCCCAAATATGTAAAATACATCAAGTACATAGTGGAAAATAAAAGGAGGCTGACCGAGTTCGAAACTGTGGCACTCACTGAGGAATGTAGCTCAAGAATTCAAAGCAAGCTACCTCAGAAATTGAAATATCCAGGTAGTTTCACTATCCAAATCTCGATTGGTAAGTATGCAGTCAGGCGAGCTTTATGTGATCTTAGAGCGAGCATCAATTTGATGCCGCTATATGTGTTAAGACAGTTAGGGTTGGGTGAACCACGCCCAACAACAGTAATCTTATAGTTGGCTAACGGCTCCCTTGCTCATCCTGAAAGAGTGATTGAAGATGTGTTAGTTCAAGTGGGTTCTTTCATATTCCCTGCCGATTTCATTATCTTGGACTACAAGACTGATTAGGAAGTCCCATTTATTTTGGGGCGTCCATTCTTAGCCACAGTCCGAGCTATTATTAATGTTTGCGAAGGAAAGATGACGATAAGAGTAGGTGATCGAGTGGAGGTATTCAATGTATATAAAGCACTCAGATTGCCATCCCACTATGAAGAGCTATCCATGATTTCTATGGTGGAAAGTGATGCTACATCCTTAGTGCCTTATATGAGCCCTATAGATCCTCTTGAACGAGCTTTGATTAGGGATGAAGAAGATAGTGAAGATGAAATGATGGGAGAACTTGAGCAAGTACTTGATATGTCATGCAGTTATGTCCATGGGTTTGGAAAATTTGAGGAGTTGGACGGGCCTGTCACTCTGACCCCTCCTAAACCATCTATTGAAGAAGCTCCGAAGCTAGAACTTAAGCCCCTACCAGCACATCTACGCTATGATTATTTAGGGAACTCTGAGATATTGCCCGTGATTATCTTATCTAGCTTGACTAATATACAAGAAGAAAAATTGCTCAGAGTACTTTGCGATCATAAAAAGGCTATTGGATGGACAATTGTTGACATCAAGGGAATCAGTCCATCATTTTGCATGCATAAAATCTTCTTGAAAGATGGACACCGCCCTAGTGTTCAGTAGCAAAGGAGGTTAAATCCCATTATGAAGGAGGTCATGAAGAAGGAGGTAATCAAGTTGCTCGATAAAGGTATTATCTTTCCTATTTCTGACAGCAACTGGGTAAGCCCAGTTCAATGTGTGCCCAAAAAGGGGGAATGACTATGATTGGTAATGAGAAAAATGAGCTAATTCCTACTCTCACTATGACGGGGTGGAGAGTCTACATTGATTATAGAAGGCTCAACAAAGCAACCCGCAAGGACCACTTTCCACTTCCATTCATTGACCAAATATTAGACAAATTAGTGGGGCATGAATATTATTGCTTCCTTGATGGTTATTCAAGATATAATCAGATTGTCATATGCCTAGAAGATCAGGAGAAGACTACTTTTACTTGTCCCTATGGCATTTTCGCCTTCAAGCGAATGCCGTTTGGTCTTTATAATGCACTAGCTACCTTCCAGAGATGCATTATGGCTATTTTCACTGATATGGTGGAAAAAATTATGTAAGTTTTTATGGATGATTTTGTCAGTCTTTGGGTCTTCTTATGATGATTGTTTGAAGTATTTGAGCAAGGTGCTGATCCGTTGTGAAGAAACAAAGCTGGTATTGAATTGGGAAAAGTGCCATTTTATAGTACATGAAGGCATCGTGTTGGGTCAAAGAGTGTCTAGGAGCGGTATTGAAGTTGATAAGGCGAAGGTGGAGGCGGTTGAAATTACCTCCACCTATTTCTATGAAGGGTGTCCGGAGTTTCTTGGGACATGCGGGATTCTATCGGCGCTTTATTATGGATTTTCTAAAATTGTTACTCCTTTGTGCAGGTTGCTTGAAAAAAATGTAACTTTCAATTTTGATGATGCTTGCCTCAAGACATTTGAAGAACTCAAAAAGAAGTTGGTGGCTGCTCCCATTATTGTGGCACCAGATTGGTCTTTACCATTTCAACTTATGTGTGATGCGAGTGACTATGCTATTGGAGCAGTGCTAGCCCAGAGGAAAGACAAGGTGTTTCATTCCATCTACTATGCGAGTAAGACTCTTAATGATGCACAACTAAATTACATCACTGCTGAAAAGGAGTTGTTAGTTGTTGTGTGGGCCTTTAAGAAATTTTGGGCATATTTGGTGGGAACAAAAGTCATAGTCCATACCGATCATAAAGCAATCAAGTATTTATTTATAAAAAAAGAATCTAAGGCTATATTGATGCGCTGGATTTTGTTGTTGCAGGAATTTTATGTAGCAATACGAGATCGAAAGGGCACAAAGAACCAAGTAGCTGACCATCTATCAAGGCTGGAAAATCACGACTACGTGGAGGAGGGTGGCCAAATTAAAGAAGTATTTCCTGATGAGCAGCTTTTTGCTATTATCTAAGGCCCTTCCCTATGGTACGCAAACTTTGTAAATTATCTTGTGAGTGGGGTACTTCCTCCTGAAATTGAATCTGAAGCTAAAAAGAGGTTTCTATATGATGTGAACTTCTACTATTAGGATGAGCCATATTTGTACAAGCAATGTGCTGATCAATTGATGAGGAGATACATTCCAGAAAAGGAGGTAGAATTAGTGTTGTATAATTGTCATGCATCGCCTTATGGGGGCCACCATGGAGGAGATAGAGCAGCTGCAAAGGTATTACAATCCGGTTTCTTTTGTCCAACTTTTTTCAAGGAAGCCCATTCATTTGTTAAGAAGTGTGACCAGTGTTAGAGAATAGGAATAATCACTAGGAGGTAGGAGGCATGAGATGCCTTTGAATAACATCCTGGAGGTTGAGATTTTTGATGTGTGGGGGATAAATTTTATGGGACCATTCCCATCGTCCAGAGGAAGCAGATACATTTTGCCAGCAGTTGACTACATGTCAAAATGGGTAGAGGCGATTGCATTACCAACAAATGATGCCATGGTGATAGCTGCGTTTGTGAAGAAAAACATATTTTCGAGGTTTGAGACTCCACGTGCTTTGATAAATGATGAAGGTACACACTTTTGAAATTGGTTGTTGAATAACCTTCCAGCTAAATATGGAGTCCGCCATAGATTTGCGACAACATATCATCCTCAAATGAGTGGGCAAGCTGAGGTGTCGAATAGAGAAATAAAATAAATTTTAGAGAAGACGGTGAGTGTGAATAGGAAGGATTGGGCTGCAAAGTTAGATGATGCCTTGTGGGCATATAGAACTACATACAAAACACTAATTGGGGAATCGCCTTATAAGCTTATTTTTGGAAAGGCATGTCACTTGCCTGTTAAACTTGAACACAAAGCATACTGGGCCATTAAAAAGTTGAATATGGACCTTGAAGCCACAAGTGAGAAAAGACTCTTACAATTGAATGAATTGGATGAATTCAGGTTGCACTCTTATGAAAATGTTAAGCTATATAAAGAGAAGACTAAAAGATGGCATGACAAGCGTATCAAGCCATGTCACTTCGAGCCAGGACAACAGGTATTATTGTTCAATTCTAGGCTCAAGTTGTTTCCTGGGAAGTTAAAGTCGAGATGGTCAAGCCCTTTTGAGGTGGTAAGAGTCACTTTTTATGGTGCTGTTGAGCCACACGCGTTAAATGGTGAAAGAAATTTTTTAGTGAATGGACACAGGGTAAAGCACTATTGGGGAGGAATAATTGATCGTGAGAAGACCAAAATTGTACTCGCTGATGAGTAAGCGAGGCCCGGCATGTTGCTGCGACGTTAAATCTGGCGCTTGTTGGGAGACAACTCAATTTTTATTGCTTTCATACGCTTCTTAATTTTTTTAGTTAGAGTAGAATTGATTTTACATTTTCTTTGTAGGCATAGAAATTATAGGTAAAATAGTTTAGGACATGTAAATTGGGTATATAAAAGGCTCGGGGAATTGAAATGTTATAAAAAAAATCTCGAAAATAGCGTCGAGGCCAACGCCTCATGCTACCTAGGGCGCTGAAGGTAGTATGTTCAAGACCCCCAATGCGGAGGCGCTGGCCTGGGGCGCTGAAGGTAGTATGTTCAAGACCCCCAGCGCTAGGCATAATGCAGAGCGTTGGGCTGAGGGATGGCCAAGTAATTAATTTTTTTCTTTGTTTAATTAGATAAATAACCCATAACCATATAACCCAACCCATATACCCATATACACTAACATTATAACCTATTTACTAACCCATGCCCACCCCCCATCGTTAGTTAAAACACACATAAAAACCAAAGCACCTGTCTTCCAACTTCTGTTTTTGCTGCGACTTCTTCTTCTCTTCTCTCAAATGTTTTCAAGTTTTCTCTTGCTCTCATCCTAAACTCTACAGGTATGTTCTTCTTCTTTTTGTATTTTAATTGGTAGTTAACAATGTACATCCCATCTCCTAAGTGACCTAATCCTCAAATTTTCCCCCATGTTGTTTCTTAAGAAATTTTTATGGTAGTCCACATTGATCGAAAATTGTGTGGTTATTGTGTATACAGAGTAGTAAACTATAATTCCCTCTACTTCGTTGAAATTTGGGAGGGCCACCTATGAGCACGTGATTTTTGTTTACGCGACAATTACTCCAAAAGAAATCAAAAAAATAAAAATGATTTTGTTGTACAATTTTTGGATTTTTACGTGGCACTTTTGGCAGTTATTTGTAGTTTTGTTTGTGATTGTTTAGTTTTGTCGAACAAAATACAAAAATATATGTCGCATGTGAGTTTAGGATGTCATTCTACTATTAGGAATTAATCAAACTATAATTTGGTTTTAAAAGGAAAAATCATAAAAAATATGCATCTTTTATTCTATTTTCATTAAGTGATTTATTTTAATGTTTAATGTGAGGGATAATTGTTGTTTGAGTATTAATTAATATTTGTATGGTTTTATTTTGATTTTACAATTTAGTTAGGAATTTTATTTAAATCAAAAATTAAAAGAAGGAAAAAGAAATGAGTTGAAATCGGAATTGGGCCATTAAATTGGACCCAAAATCAGGCCAAAAAAAAAACGCTGCTTTGCCCGGTCCAGATTAGTTGGCCTCAGGGGCATCCAAACGACGTCGTTTTAATCATGCTTGATCTGGGCCGTTGATCTCAGAATGATCAACGGCCAAGATCACATCTCC